AGGTTTAGGTTAAGGGTTAGGTTTAGGTTTAGGTTAAGGGTTAGGTTTAGGTTAAGGGTTAGGTTTAGGGTTAGGTTTAGGGGGGTTAGGTTTAGGTGTTAATTTTAGCTTTATCGTTCACAGCGTGCTTTCTTCGTCGCGCTGTGATGACGTCAGGTACACGGTTTCGTTGAGCGCGCTTTAGTCGAACGCGGTTTTGTGGTGGAACCTGTCAGAAGATTTCCAGATGAAGAATTTAGGCCGTACTACCTAAATCTATCTGAAGCATCCATTGCACGTGATGATCTGGGGCTGTATCGCTGCTTCTGGGGTTGGTTGGATACAAATCGTGCAGGGAATCATGAATTCCAAGCAGTATGTTGAAGTCCTGGGAAAGACCATGCTTCCTTCAGCTCAGTGACTTGTAGAGAAGGACTTTTACTTCCAGGATGACAATGCTCCTTGTCATCGAGCCAAGTCCGTCTAGCAGTGGATGAAGAAGCATGGTGTTCGCCTCCTGGATTGGCCAGCTCAGAGCCCGGATTTGAACCCAATTGAGAACTTGTGGGTCAAGTTTGGTTACGAAATAAGCAAGAAGCATCCAAAGACCAAGCAGGAGTTGATTGAATCCATTATCGCAGCCTGGCATCACATTGTCACCAAAGATCACGTGCAAAGGCTTATATAGTATGCCGAAGCGATGCCGCCTGGTGATAAGCAATAAGGGCTGGCCAATTTCATATCAGTAACCATGTTTGGTTACCTAAATGGTCCTTTTCAGGGCCACAAACAATAAAAGTGTTAACAAAACACTAGCATCGGCCTTAGTAATTGCAACACGTATGCCATCACTGGGTATGCATCAGTTCATCTCTTTTCAAAGTCACTGAAAGCATGCAAGAAAATTCACAATCCCCATCCAAAGAGCACCAAATTGCAAAAAGCTTATGCTTTTCACTTAAAAACCACCAGTATTTACTTCAATATAACAATATTTGTATAGCAGTTAGCATAAAATATCATAAAATCACTGGCCTAACCAAAAACAAATGTCATAATCCATAACCTGTAAACCGTAAAGGGTGCAGGACTTTTTCACACAGCTGTAGATGTAGTTAAAAGTTCTGTGAAGTCAAAACTAAAAAGTCTATGAGTTGACTTCCATAGCCAATGACCTCATGAACCAATTTATGCAGTGTTTTTCTAACAATGCTGTAAAGCAGTGTATGTCAACCGTGACAATTTAAAGATGTCCAACCAAGAATGCTGCTGGCTGGTTGGGGAATTCTGGGAGTTGAAGTCCACACATTTTTAAGTTGCCAAGATTGAGAAGGTAGGATGCTGCTCCCCGTTTTGAGTATATTTTTCCACTTCCCACCTTAGCTATCAGCCTTAGGATTTCCTGCTAATTTCCCATTCAAGTACTAAGGAGTTCAATCCTTTCAGTTTCTAAACCCAGGCAAATTCTAAATATGGCAAGTACATTGTGCCTATTGTATTGTATTATATCTGCACCGATATAAAATAAACAGAAGCAGACTGTGAACATCCAGAAGCAGAGTTGTAAAAAACCATTTAGCTAATTAAATTAATCCATTAGTGCAGGATTCCAAATCGAAACATAGGTTTATCTAGTTTTCATTATTATTATTTTTATTGAAAATTTTTTGGGGAAAAAAGGCTTTTACAAATATTTACCTCCCCTCCCCCATCCGAACCCAAACCCCCCAACCTCCAACTTCCCAGAACAAATACAGGGTATAAATCTTTAACAAAGATGTTCTAAAATAA